CATGATCCAGAAGGTAAGGAAGCCACAGCAGGGCACTGCTCCATCCTAGGTGCATCTCCAGTGGCCTGCCAGGCTCAGGCTCCTCAGTGTTGGAACCTTCCATCCTTCATACTCGCTGTCTTCTTGCCCCTCAGACCAGGAGGAGCACAAAGGAGAGGCCCGCATACACGCCGAGCAGCAGCGACGATGAGGGTCCAGCAAAGGACATCGGAGTCACTTACAAATCAACAAGGTCGGCGGTAAGGACTGGGCAAGAGGTTCTGGGGTGTGAGGTCAGGTGGGACTGGCTGAGCCCACACTTGATAGTGAGTATTTGCCTCAGCAAATGTGGGATCAGCCATCCCTTCTTTTTCATCTAGAGATGCAACTCCCTGTCCCCTCTTGACAAGCCCCTTGTGCGAGGTTTGTTCTCCTGATACCCCCTGCATCCTCAGGAGGCTGTCTGAGGTTGGCCTTTACCTCTTAGAGGTGGGAATTAAAACCTCAAGATGCCACTGAACTTGCCCAACATCGCACAAAATTTTCGGGAGAGGGAGCACTCGAATCGCGTTTGCCTCCTGTTGGGTTCGTGTTTTCAGTTTTACAACATTTTCCTTCACAAAGAATTGAAGGTGACTTAGGAGGTGCTCGTATCTTCATGCTTGTGACTGGTGATGGGGTAAGAGCTGCAGAGAAAGGTCGTTGGGATTGATGGGTGGGGTGTCCTGTTAACATCTGGAGTGGGGAGAAGTCAGTAGGGAAGGTTTGGGCACAGCTCACATTGTTCTTCCCACTGGATTTTTCTCTTTCCTCTTGATCCAGTGAAATTTTGCTCATTAGTGCAAGTCTGGGCAGGATATAGTTGGGATTAAGAGTGGATACCGACTTATGTTCCTCTCCAGACCTCTTTCCTTGTTGTCTGTGCCTCTGTATAAAATGGGAACGATGCCTCACGGTCCCCAGTGAGAGCTGCAGGGTCAGAGCTGGGTCTCCTTGTCACATTAGAGATTAATATGAATATAACCTCGGACTGTAATTATTCACTGCTCTGACTGCTGCCAGGGTGGGCAGCATGTTGTCAGCCCTCCTTTCTATAGGAGGATGGGAAAGGAACAGGAGGAGGTGACAGCCTGGAGAAGAGAAGGCTTGGAGGAGATCTTACAGTGGTCTTCCAGTACCTGAAGGGGCTACAAGAAAGCTGGGGAGGGACTTTGTCAAAGGAAGGTAGTGACAGAACAAGGGGTGATGGCTTGAAACTGGCACAGGGGAGATGGAGATGAGATGTGAGGAATTAATTCTTTGGGGTGAGGGTGGTGAGACAGTGTCCCAGGTTGGCCAGAGACGCTGTGGCTGCTCCTCCCTGGAAGTGTTGAAGGCCAGGTTGGATGAGGCTTTGAGCAACCTGGTCTAGTGGAAGGTGTCCCTGCTGATGGCAGGGGGGTTGGGACTGGATGAGCTTTAAGGTCCTTTCCAACCCAAACCACTCCACGATTCTGTGATTCCGTGAAAGCCTTGGGGCTTCAGAAGCTTTCGGCACCTTAGTTAATTTGGTTTTAATTAAGGCTGGCTGTAATTATTCTTTGGTTTCTGTGCAGCTGTTCCTGAAGTTCTGATAAAACCCAGGCACAGGTGTCTATTGAGTCCATTGAAGAGGAATCTAAACCAGATCACTATTAAAACTGCGTGTGAGCCGCCCACAGCTGGGTCAGCAGTTCAGACCAACATCCTGCCTGTGGGTGGGATGGTGTCATGATCGATTCGAGTGTTGGACGTGAAACCTGAGTTCAGCTTCCAGCTAAGCTGAGCCTGAGCATGAAGGAGTAAAATAAGAACAAGTGTTTCCTGCACACACGAGGCTGGATCCGGCCCGTGGGGGAATCTCCCAGCAGGTGCTAAGGGACGGTAGAAGCTGGTGGAAGGTAAAGCAGGCAACGTCCAGTGCTCGCTCTGGGACCAGTCCTTCAGGTAGCCAAGGAGCTCTCTGTCTTGTACAGGTTTTCTCTTCGCTGTTGTCACAAGTTCTTGCTTTTCAGAAACCTGTTGGCCCAGAAGATATGGGAGCCACAGCCGTGTATGAACTGGACACAGAGAAGGAGAAAGATGCCCAGGCCATCTTCGAGCGGAGCCAGAAAATCCAGGAGGTGAGTCAGCCTTGCTCTGTAAGACCGAGTGATCCACAGCAGGAGAACATATGCTTTACTGCTCCCCTTCTGCACACCAGGAAGAGTTTTGAGTGTCTTCGTCCCTGGAAATTTGAGAAGCCAAGAGTTTAACCCTTGCAAATAGGGGAATTTTCTGCCTTTATTGGCATCTTGGTATTAAGGAAAGCAGGGAAGGGAGACTGGTGTCAGAGAGGTGAAAGCTAATCTGTGCCATGAAGCTTTCCTGATCCTTGATCATCTTTCCTTTTGCTTTCCTAGGAGCTGAGAGGAAAGGAAGATGATAAAATTTACCGTGGTATTAACAACTACCAGAAGTATGTGAAGCCCAAAGACACATCGATGGGAAACGCCTCTTCAGGAATGGTCAGGTAGGTCGGGATGAGCCTCAGAGGACTCGGACCACAGAGGAGCTCAGGCACCATCCCCAAAGGCACCTGTTTGGGGCTTGAATTTGCTGTTCCTGTCAGCTCCTTTCTGTCTAACGAGTCTGGTGTCTGGTTCTGACCAGACCCCCAGGGGCCTTCACCGCAGCTGCGCAGCCGCCTGAGCCTTCTCCCACCCTTTCAGAAAAGGACCCATCCGTGCTCCGGAGCACTTGAGGGCCACAGTGCGGTGGGACTACCAGCCTGACATCTGCAAGGACTACAAAGAAACTGGGTTCTGTGGCTTTGGAGGTGAGTAGATGTTACCTGCAACTGAACACGTGCTGCACCAGGTCTGCAAAGGGATCCAGTCCAGCTCATGATCCCCTCACTTAGTGATTCACAGGCGCTTGTTTGCAGAGCTGGTGTGTGATGCTGTTGCAGAGTTGATTCATATAACGTTCTTGTCATTTGTGCCAGCCCTTCTGAAAGCTTATGGTCTCTAATCATTGAGTCCTGGGAGGAGACCTACAGGAAGGCTGGGGAGGGACTTTGGCCAAGGGCAGGGAGTGACAGAACAAGGGGTGATGGCTTGAAAGTGGCAGAGGGGAGATGGAGATGAGATGTGAGGAAGAAATTCTTTGGTGTGAGGGTGGTGAGACAGTGTCCCAGGTTGGCCAGAGAAGCTGTGGCTGCTCCTCCCTGGAAGTGTTGAAGGCCAGGCTGGATGAGGCTTTGAGCAACCTGGTCTAGTGGAAGGTGTCCCTGCTGCTGGCAGGGGGGTTGGGACTGGATGAGCTTTAAGGTCCCTTCCCACCCAAACCAGTCTGGGATTCTCTGTCCCCTGGGCTGTTCCAGTGACCCCCATTCCCACAGATATTCTGGCTGCTGAGGCTGTGTGAGGGATGGGATTTCCTGTCCCTTGTCCCACTTCCCAAGTGTGTAAACGCTGGAGCTGTCACTGGGGCCTGTCAGCCCTGAGAGGAATCCTGTGCCTGCTCCAGGCAGGTGTGGGTGGGGAAGCAATCAGGTCTCACCTGCTGCTGGGCAAAGCTCAGGCTGCCCCTGAATGAGGTGTCCAGTTAAGAGCTCGCCTGTGTGGGGCAGAGTGTTAACTCCTCTCTTTGTGCTGCTCAGACAGCTGCAAATTCCTCCACGACCGCTCAGACTACAAACACGGCTGGCAGATCGAACGGGAACTGGATGAAGGCCGGTACGGAGTCAACGGTACGGCACCAACCCTCTGCTCTCCCTCTCCCTGAGCTAATGGTGCACGAGGCCACCAGGTCCTGCCTCTTACCATCCCCTACAGTGAACGTGGCTTCACTGGATCACTAAGAGTGAAACGGGTCCTTTGCTGACTCCAGCTGCATGGGCCATGGGTTGAATTAATATTAGACATGAAGGACTCTTTATTCCAAAGCTGTGGAACTCCCTGCTGCAGGATAACCTTAAGGCCAGTAACCACTGACAGTGCTGAGCAAATCTGCTGCTTTCAGATACCCACTGAGTGCCACCAGAGAGAATTATCTCCTCTGGGTCTCTAAAAGGAGCGCACTGCTGTTGTATGGGTCCCGGCAGCGAGCTGTGTGAAGCTGGGGAGATGTAACCATCTCCTGCCCTGCCACTGCCCAGGAGGTGGGACACTTCTCCTGCTGTGCCACATCATTATTTCTCACTCACAGTCTGTAGCTGCAGCCCAAGGCTCGTGAGTGTTGCTTGTGAACTGCTGTGCAGCTGGGGGGAAGAGAGTGTTCGCTGTTCGGTTGGAGCCAAAGAGTTTGGTGGCAGCTGGTTTGGAAGAAAATCTGAAAAATAGGAGGGGGCTGGAGGATGTGTTGTTAGAGCAGCGAGTGGGTGAGGTAGAAGAGAATTTGCTCTTGTGAGATGAGCAACGAGCACACTGGCTCATTAGACTTAATTATATCTTAGCCCCACACGCATTACTGACATCAGCAGCACCCAGATGCCAGAGCTCCCTTGTTTCCAGCTGAGATTCAATCCCACCTGCTGTGCTCTCTCCACATTTAATATTTCATGGCCCACGCGTGGGTTGGTCTGGCTGCCTCTGCTCTTCCTCTCGTCTGGTTTAACTTTCTCTCCTGTAGATGAGGAAAACTATGAAGTGAGCAGCGATGAGGAGGATATGCCTTTCAAATGCTTCATCTGCAGAAGTTCCTTCAAGAATCCGGTGGTCACCAAGTAAGTGGTTGTTTTGGCACAGAGAGCTGAGTGTCTGCTGTCGGTCCAGTCCACTAATCATTCTGTGTCCTGACAAATACAAACACTGGCCACAGGCTGGTGGGTGGGACCTGCTTCTTGTCTGCCCTGTCTGGTGGGTGGGGAAAGTCTCTGAGAACCAGGGAGTCTTATCACTGCATCTGGAGCATCTCCTTGGAAGGGATCTCAAGCCTTTGTTGTCCAAGCACCTTTTTGATTTCCACATTTACATCATTACATTATCTTTCCCCTTCACCTTGAGATTTTGTTTCCATGCCTTCATTCCTCCTGGACGTGGAATGGATGCTGCATTGCGTGAGCAGAGAAGCATGGAGAAGCCAAGAGCTTGGGGCAAGGATGAGGAGTATGTTTGGGGCAGTGTGGACCTCATATGTGGTCTCCTATGCTGCTGCTGTTGTACTGGGTACCTGCTGTCTGGACGAGCTCCCTGGTGGCTCTGTGCCATCGCTCCACCTCAGTGAAGCGACACTGAACCACCTTTCCTGGGGACAGTGCTGCAGAGGAAGCTCTGCGTGCCGATCACTTCTGCATCCCCCAGGGACCAGCAGTCAGTAATTTCTGACTCCTGGATGCAGTGATTGTATCTGTCTGGTGACTTGTGGTGGCATCTGTGTCTCCGTACAGGTGTAGGCACTACTTCTGTGAGAGCTGTGCCCTCCAACACTATCGCAAATCCCAGCGCTGCTACGTCTGTGACAAGCAAACCAACGGAGTCTTCAACCCGGCCAAAGGTAACGGGCACCTCGGGGTCTGAGGGGTTTCAGCAGCAGCATCCGGAGCAGAGAAGGCACCAGCTCCTGAGGTGGCTTCTTGGTGTTGGACTGGAGCTCACAGCTCTTGGCTGCCAGCAGAGCTTCCTTGAGTGCCAGGATACACTGGATCATGGCCTGGGTGGCTCTGTAGGTGTAAAATGAGTGTCTGTGCCCACTCGGGTGGGGAACTCGGGGAGTGTGGCTGCTGGTGAGGGTCAGGGGAGAGCAGCTGGTGACACTGTAGCTGGCAGGTTAGTAACACCCTGATGATTCTGTGCCTGTAACATCTGCTGCCCTGGCCGTGGTGAATGGTGGTGGCTCCCAGCTGAGCCTGTGTGTGGGCAGGTCACTTCTGGCAGCTGGAGATGGGTGTTTACCAGACCTGTGGGACAGTCCCTGCACCTGGAGGCTCATCCTGCTTATTCCTGGTTTTTCAGAGCTCATGGCAAAATTGGAAAAACACAAAGGGGAGGAAGAAGAGGAGGATGAAGAGCACCAGCATTCAGACCATAGAGAGGATCTGCAGTAGCAGAGTGAACTGTTTTGTATGTAGCTGAATAAAGCTTTCATGGGAGGAAAAAAACCAACCCTCAGAGCAGTTGCCTTGGGGTCAGCAGCCGGAGCCAGCGCGTGTGTATCCAACCAGCAGCTACTCAGTGTGCCAGGCTCCTTGTTCGCTGCTCTGTGGAGGCTCAGGACAGACCAGGTAAGGTCAGACTCAGGAGTTGTGGCTGAGTAGGGCTGTCTGCTACCACCAGGACCCCAACGTTACCCCAGCATGGCCTGAGTGCAGCGGTGTGCCTGGGGAAAGAATGAGGGGTTGATCACTCTGCATTCAGTTGCTTCAGAACTTTTTTAGTGTTTTTAACCAAAGTGCTGCTGTTTCACTCTTAACCTTGCACTGATCCTGCTGCTGCGTAAGCGTAAAAGTGTCTCTGAGTTAATTGAAGTCCATAATCTTTGAGCACGTAGCAAGCTGCAAGCATAGAGAGGGATGAGAAATACTAGCTTCACCCTAAGAATGCTAACTCGGGGGAAAGCACACTGGAGCACTGCAGTTCTTGTGATTTATTATAGCGCAGCGTGTTCCCTCCTGGGTTTTCTCTCTGCCTCTTGGTTCCTAGGAGAATTCAAGAGAGTCTTAGAACTTCAGTGGGCACCACCTCTTGAATCATCCCTTTTCTCTGAGGAGCCATATCTCCTCCAAACCCAGCAGCAGTATGTCACTAACTCGTTCCCAAGGGTTTTAAGCTGTGAGTGGTACTAAAGAATAAGGTCCCTAAGAAGTTCTTTCTTTAAAGAGTTCTTTCTTTAAAGTTCTTCAAAGTGCTCTAAAGAAAGTCCCTGTCCCCTTCAGTCCCTGTCTAGGCTTGTGGCAGAGGAATAAGGATTTCTGCAAGCTGCAGCCGTCATAACAAGTCAGGAAATTAATTAAGATCTACTTACTAGAATAAAATTAAATTGATGCAAACTTGATCCTAGGGAGGAAGGAGAAGTGGGTCTGTCCTATCTGCTGTAGCTTGATTTTACAATCAATCACCCCTGCTCTGGGAGGTGATGTTCTGCTGAAACTTTCAGGAAAGAGCAAGAGCAGTTGTTTGCAGCTGTTTCTGAAATGTGAAGGTAGTTGCAAATAACTGGTGAGCTCTATGAAAGTAAGGAAAGGAGAAGAGAGTAAGTGTGCACAGCCAGCCTGCATCATCATTTGTGATCCACTCCCTCACTTGCAGAAACAGCAGACTTGCAAAAAAAACCCCAAACTTCAGAAATATTTTATTTGTTTTGGCAAAAAACTAGAGTAACAAACTTTATCTGGGTTCAAGTAGAGTTTATAAACACAAGCAGGACCTGTTGCCAGCACCACTACTCCCATCAACCACACCTCCAGGACTGGGGTCTCAGTGCTTCATTGAAAAGTAGAAAGACCTTGGAAAGGTCAAACTAAAAAAAAACCAAACCTGAAATACACCTTCAAAAACCAAATACCATGGAATGGGGGGGAGCTGCCCGAGCAGCAGGGCAGTCACACAGCCGTGGATCCAGGGGAGAAGCAAGATCTTACCTGTGGGTCAGTCAGGAAAGCCAGAGCAGCAGGGGTAAGGGAAGGTTGAAGATTAATTCTGTACATGATGTTCAAAGAGGAGCTGTGAGGATTTAGTATGAACTTTTCCCCTGTGCCAGGGTAAGTCACTGAGAAGAAGCTGGTGTGAGTGTTACATGCTGTGAAACCAGCCCAGCTAACAGGAGGCTCAACTAGGTGTGCTGTGGGGAATAAAAAAAGCTGGTACACTGCACAGGCGCACACGCTGGCTTTGGTGAGGAGAGGCTGGAATGCCCCGTCTGATGTGGAGTTCAGCATGTTCAGCATCAAAAATCTCTTCAAAATCTCTCTTGAGAACTGGAAGAAGAGAATCCAGTCCTGTAGAGGAATGCCCGATGCAGCAGTGAGTGTGCCTCGAATGGAATGGGGTTGTCTTCCATCTTCAATTTTCCATCACAAAGCAGTGACTAAATTTAAAGAACATCATCATCCCTTTTTTCCACCCCCCCACCCTCAAAGCTTACCCTGTGACAACACTGTAACAGCAATCTGACTAGCTCTAAGAGAATGCCCAAAACTAAGAGCTGTCTGCCTCCCCCAGACTCTAGGGCACCCTTTAAAAGAGAAAGGACCAGAGAGGGCAGGGGCACACAGCCTTCAACTGCGAAACCAGCGAGCCAGTGATTGGTAGAGAAACATAAGAGACTAAACAGACTCACTCAACCCATTCGAGTGACTGACCAGTGCTCAGCTGCAAGAACTGGGGCTCTGGGCACTGCACCATCTGGAACATTCCACAGTTCCTTGGGGCTGATCCTTCTCCAGCTTTCTGTCCATTTGTTTCCAGGCTACTTCTAAATTAAACAGGCAGTTAAAGTTCCTTCCCAAGGACCTGTAAACTCTTCTATGTGTAACATTCATCATCTTTTGTGAACAGGACCAATAAATTACAATGTCCAGAAAGCTCCTCCTCCAGAACCAGGTATAATCCCTGTTTTTTCTAGAATTCCCAGTCATCCACATCCAGCTGCTCCAGGTTTGACACCAGCCCAAAAATACCACTGGGATCCTGGGGCCGCGTTCCTTCAAAATTGGTGATGGGGGTGACAGGGCGCAGAAGTTCCGGGAGTGCTTCGGAAGCGCGGCGCTTGATCTGCACAGAAAGGAGAGAACTCGGCTGCTGAAACGCTTCCCCACGCGTGGGCATCACCATCAAACAGCAACAACGTGGGGTTGTGGGCAGAGAGAACACGGTCTCATCCTCCCACCTGCGCTGAGAGATGTGCAGGGCTTTCACACTGCAACTTGTAACCAGTTACACCAGTGCCCCCTGGACTGGGCACTGGTGAGGCTGCAGCTCGAGTGCTGTGTTCAGTGTTGGGCCCCTGACTCCAAGAAGGACATGGAGGTGCTGGAGCGTGTCCAGAGAAGGGCAACGGAGCTGGGGAAGGGTCTGGAGCACAAGTGTGCTGAGTTCCCTTGTGGCTGAGGGAACTGGGGGTGTTGAGCCTGGAGCAAAGGAGGCTGAGGGGAGACCTTCTGGCTCTGTGCAAGTCCCTTGGAGGAGGGTGGAGAGAGGTGGGGGTGGGTCTGTTCAACCAAGGCCCAAGGGACAGGACAAGAGGAAATGGCCTCAAGTTGCACCAGGGGAGGTTTAGATGGGATATTGGTAACAATTTATTTACTGAAAGAGTGGTCAAGCATTGGAACGGGTTCCTCAGGGAAGTGGTGGAGTCCCCATCCCTGGAGCTGTCCAAAAAATGGGTAGACATGGCACTTCAGGACATGGGTTAGGGGGCCTAGTGGTGTTGGGTTCATGACTGGACTTGATCTTAGAGATCTTTTCCAACCTTTATGATTCTAAGAAAGTGCTTTGCATGTGGTCTTCTGGTCACTTCCCAGGAGAATGGGAGGATCACCAAGCTGCACTACAGTTAGTCACCAAACTAACTTCATCCTTTCAGATCACAAAAAATTCAGCAACTCTGTATTCCCACCCTCAGGTTCAGCAACACAGCAAGACAACTACAGAGAAGCCACTGTTCTTTATCTGCAGATGAAATTAGCTCCTTACCTGCTTGAAAAAGGGATGATTAAGCAGAGCGCCTGCGCTTGGCCTGTAGAAGGGAGTTAGAATAAAGTGAGCACACAAGAAAACACATCAGTGTTTAAAATGGATAGTGGAATAAAGACAAGCCCAGGGTCCTTCTGCCCCTCTCGTGTCTCAGCTACAGGCCACCTCCCTTTCTGTAACCAGCAGCAGTGTTTATTATGTTGATGTGATGTTTTATGCAAGCAGTTCAACCTTCTGCACGAGTTACCTACTTGCACACCCCAACATTTGGTCAAGGGTAAGTTGCTGAACAGTGTGATATGCTGGAGAAGTTTGTCATGGCTAAAGACGACCCTACGCTCGCTACAGAGGAAAACAGAGTTCTTGATCACTTCCCATCGTTCTTCTCTGCTGGCTGAACAGCAGACAGTGACAGTGATGGAAACCAGGGACCAGAAATTCAAGCTGTTCAGTTTATGTTCCTGACATGCAGCACCACTCTACCCCTCAAACAAGGCAGCAAAGTAATTCTTCAGGCTCTCTTATAAAAGTGCTCAAAGTGTTAATGCTGCTTTACATACCTGGCCTGCTCTTCTCAAAGTATGGAGCACATCCTCACTCCGCTGTGCTTCTTAAAGAAAACTTATAACAACTTCTGCTGCCTCTCACAGTTTAACGAGCCCCAGAATAGTACAGGTCTGGGAAAAGCAGCTTTACCTGAAATCAGGGTTCCGCTGGAGGCACTGCTCTACAAAGTTATGGAAGTAGGTGGAGAAGGTCCGAAGATAAGGGTGCAGGGTCGGCTCTCCGTTTGCTGCTCTCACGTTGCTAAGAGCCATGCTCTCGCCCATCCCGTAATTAGCACTTGAACGGGAGGTCTTCATAGTCAGCTCATCGGCAGGAATTGTGGTGGTGTCTAGCAGGCAGGGAACAGTTCCATTCAGCTTCTCCAAGAGCATCTGGAAGAGAAGGGGCATAAGCAACACCACACACAGTCAGACTGGACAGTTAAGATTCCCCATTCAGGTACACGCAGAACCCTTTATCTTCACATCCCAGTGCAGCAAAGCAGTTCCACGTGCCAGGATGAAGGATGAGAAGGGAACAGCTTTGAAACCTTACCTGAGTAGAAGGCATGTCTTTAAATGGTACGTGTCCGTTTGCCAGCTCACAGGCTGTTATCCCTATGCTGTAAATGTCGGATTTTGCATCGTAACCTTGGAGATTCTAGATGAAAAGGAGAAGAAAAATTACAGCCTGACGGACTTACATGTGATTGCACGGGCAATACCCACGATTCGATATGCACAACAAACCCAAATGATCAGAGCAGAAATAATACAACTGGTTTATTGTGGTGGTGGTTTTTTTGTTTGTTAAAACTCACAGTTAAGGGTAACACTTATTGAACTGAAATCAGCTAGCTAGTAGGGATGGCATCTGCCTTAGGGTAACTGGCATCTACTATAACACACTGCTAATGGGAGAGTCTGTAGAGGTATCTACAAGAAAACTATTTAGTCAAATAGATCAGATCAAATTCTACACACTTGCCCTGCACCTGCCCCAAATCTGTTTCCTCTAGCCTCTCCCCTTCCTTTTTCTTTTTTTTTCTTCTTCTAGACGGAAAGACAATGTTGTAACATGGGCTTCTCAGCAATTGCCCCTTTTGACAGGAGTACAGGTTTCCCCTTGGTAGGGGTCACTGGTTTTAAGGGAAGAAGGATAAAAAAAAGGCTAGAGGTCATAATGAGAAAAAGTTACCCTACTGTTCTGTCATGTCTCCCTGCCTTCACCCCCCAAACATGCCATAAAAACTCAGGAAACTCTATAGAGATACCACATATCACTAAAAACTAGCAGGTTTGGTTGGGTTTTTTTTCAACACACCTGCTGCAGGACTTCAGGACTGAGCCAAGGCAAGACTTTGATGCTGTATTTGGGAAAGTCATGAACAACTTTGAGTCGCTGCCCATGGTTGATCATACTTAGATTGCTTCGCAGGCCTGAGAGGTACACCTTCCCGTCTACAGAGATCAGGATATGGCTGGCTTTAACACTCCTGAAAACAAGTAAAAATAGCAAGTAAAACAGTGAGCACCCACAGAAAAGGTAAAAGCCTGCTTTATCAGACAGCTCAGTGTGCAGGACAATACTTGATCAACCAGGAGCCTGAGACTCCTAATGACCATGGTGAATGCTGCGTAAAATCGCTTCTGCAAACATTCTCAGGACTCTATTCTGCTTTGCAGGTTCCTAAAGAATGTTTCCAGGGCAAAGAGAAATGCAGGACCCAGGACCTTCAACAGTAACAGGGCAAATCCCCCCCACACCACTGTTGGTCTCAATTTGGAGCCTACCAATAGGATCTGAACAAGTCAGCCTGTCAACATGAGCTGCAGTTCTCATTTTAGATACACAGGGGTGTTTGGGATAAGTTTGCTCCACAGTGAGACTTTGATACTTATGGGAAATTGTATCATTGATCTTACTAAACTCTATCAAAATGACTTGCTCTGACAGCAAAGTAATACAAAAATGGATCATGCATTCCACATCTCTTGAACTATCCACTCTGCTGTAATGAGGAGCAGCATTTCTGAGAACTTCCAACAGAAGGAAAATGGAAAAGTGCTCTTTGTTGTTGTTGTTGTGTCCAATACCTATGGACGTAGCCCATATGGTGGATGTAGTCAAGTGCTTTCAGTACTCCTCGGAGGATATATGCAATAGCCAGTTCATTCATCCCATCCGTAAAATGGGAACAGATTAAATCTTTTGCAGAACCTAAAAAGAAACAAAACACCTCTTAAGTGGTCAGGAAAAAAAGCCCAGGGATACTTCACCTCTTCAATTTCATTTCACATCAAAGGTGTTCCCTCTCCACCTACCATAGGCCATGAAAGACGTCACTACCCACAGCTCATTGTCAGCTATGAAAGTTGCTTTGTATGGCACGATGTTGGGGTGGTTGAAGAGCTTGGAAACGTGAAGTTCCCCCTAAAATAATAATAATAATAATAA